AGGGTAATATGAAGAACAAGGAAGAATTTTTAACTGTTGCTTTAACTCCATTGTATTCTTCCAGTTCATTCTGTATGTAGCTGCTGAAGAAATCTGTATCATTTTGTTATGTTGATGCTCTACCTAAAACCTTGCATAATTGATGAGTTTAAAATTGTGCTGTTTGACTTAAAAAAGAAAAAACCAGAAACCACTCATCAGTATTTTTAAAATTAGGAAAATAATATATACTCATTGGAAAAAATTTGTGTGATGTAGAAGTTTATAAAAGTAACAAAGTAACAAGGGGCCCCTCAGCCCCTTTCCACTCCCTGGGGTAACCATGGTTAGCACTTTGGTGTGTGTGGGTACATATCTTTTTTTAAGTGTAAATGAACAAATAGATAAATATATAGTTATTTTAATTACAGAAAATGGGTCATACTATATATTTATTCTACATTTGTCTTTTTAATTCAATATTTCACATACATCTTTCCGTATCAGAACATACAAACCTCTCTTATACTTTTTAGTGCCATCATAGTATTTCATCATATAGTTGTGCTGAGTTATGTAACCTTCCCCACTGCTGGGCATTTAAGTGTTCTCCTCTGTTGATGGACTTCGAAGGCCTATCCTTATCTAGACCCATTCTCCCTAACTAATCTTATTTTTCTCCTTTCTAGTTATACTAGGGTCATGGCTTTTAGAACTTGTGCTGTATTCCATTTCTGTGTCTTCATTGTGTCACCCCTTACCTGTAATTAGGATTTCTCTTTTTCCTTCCACCAAATTACAAATATGCTTCAAGTCCCACCTTAAATCCTACCTTCTTTTTAAAAAGATTTTATTGGGGAATTGGGGGAGGGGAACACTGTTGGGGAATTGGGGAAAGGGAACAGCCAAGTTGTTGTTCTTCAATCTTCCTTGCGGAGGGCTCCAGTCACCATCTGGCTTCCCGTCGGCAGCTTGTGGCCTCTAAGCTCAAGATGCTGTGTTGAATCTTAGTTGCAGGTGGGCGTAGCCACTATCCTATGCAGGAGTTGAACCAGCAGCCTTGTTGTTAAGAGCGCACACTCTATCCACTGAGTCATTGGGCAGCAGCTCAGCTCACAGTGCCAAGCTCAGTCTTAATTGTGGGTGGGCATGTAGCCCACCATCGAACAGACAATTTTGTTGTTACACCAGCTGAGCCATCCTGCCACCTGTTGGCAGCTCAGAGACAGCTCAGCTCAGGCACAGCGTCACTGGCCCATGTGGGAATTGAACTGGCAGCCCTGTTGCTCAGAGCTCGCACTCATAAGCCAACTCTTAACCAACTGAGCCACTTGGCTGGCCCCTACCTCCTTTGTAAAATGTTATTTCACTCTTAAAGCCCGTATTGGCTTCCTTCTTCTCTGAATGTTCCTTGTGGTTAACAGCACAATGCCAAGCACCAAAAACAAAAAAAGTTAANCCCATGAGTGGAATCATAAAAGTATTTGTGCTTTTGTAACAGGCTTATTTCACTTAGCATGCCCTCAAAGTTCATCCATGTTGTAGCATGTGACAGGGTTTTCTTCCTTTTCTGTTTGCTTCTTTTGTATACAAATGTTCAGCCTTTAAATTCATAACAAAGTTTACACCCACCCCTGTTCTGGAATAACCTCTTACTGAGCCGTGACTGGGTTTCTACGGCTATGAGATTGAGGGAGGGAGCGAGATGCCCAAAGGTCTTAACCAGGGGCCAGTAAGTTAACCTTTGGGGGCACTTTATGTCTCATTTTTTATTTAGCCCAGATTGGACCTCCGTACAGAGCTGCATATCTATTGCTGCATATACCCGCGGGTTTGTATCTCAGAGAGGCCTTTTCACCTCCCCCTGCCCTGTAAGCACATGGTAAATCACACCCCTACTGTAAGGATTTGTGTACAGCACTTTAAATCTTTCCTAGAACCAGGTGAATAATTTGCCTTGAATGTCTTTCTTATTAGACTTTTTCATTTTGCAGGCAAATTGGCCCAAGAACATTGGTCTGGTCTGAGAAAGAGCAGGTGGAAAAGTCAGCGTACGAATTTTCCGAGGTTGGTCGTCTACTCACCCATTTTAATAACTGTGGTAGACAGTCGTGTTAAGATTTTGAGTACGAAATGCGATGGTGTTAAGCGGTGTGGTAAAAGAATCCAATATATGTTATTTTATGTGAATTTGCATTTGCTACATTTTTTTGTATCCTTTTCATTTAAAATATGCATCATTAACCTTCATAGAAAATAATATATACTTTTAAGAAGTTTATTATCATGATGAAGGCATACAAATATATATGCATTCATTTTTCAGACTGAATCTATGCTTAAAATTGCAGAAGATCTGGGAGGCCCGTATGTTTGGGGGCAATATGACCTGCTGGTCCTGCCACCATCCTTCCCTTATGGTGGCATGGAAAACCCTTGCCTCACCTTTGTAACTCCTACTCTGCTGGTAAGTAAGAGTAAATGTTTCTTCATCTGAAATGGAGTTCTCCTCAAACATAAAGCTAGATATGAAGAACCTTAGACTCCTAATAATATTTTTAAAAATCTTTTATTGCTATAACCCTTGTTTCTAATTTGATCGCTTATGGTGGTTATCATCATCTTCTCCTTTTATGAAAGAAAACAATTTGGCCATTTGGGAGAAAAGAATATTATGGTCAAGGTGTTTTGGGATATTAGGGGCGGAGGGGCTGTGTCACACCAATCCATTGATGAATTATGTATCCAGACAAAGAAACTACACAGTTTACACTTGGCATATAGGTACTGGTAAAAAGCAAAATAAAACAAACAAAAAGCCTACCTCAGTTTACCATGCAGAGGATTAGGCAATAGTATATAGCTATATTTTATATGCCTTTGTAAGGAATCTCAAATCCTTCCTAGAACCAAGTGAATAATGGATTAGCAACTAAATAGGTAAGATAAAAAACATCATAGGAAACACTGTAAACTTTATAAAAATATACTGTGGCTAATAGATAGAAAGAAGGTGCAAGGTTAGATCAGTTATAAAAAGTGAAAGTCGGAGAAATGTTTCCTGGAAATTAGAGGCAAGTATACGGGCCCGCCTGGTATTATCAAAAATTCTCTAGGATGAGGGAGAGAAAGAATTATGCTATTTTGTAGTCCTGCATTTTTTGTTTTATTTTCATAATACATGTCTCTTTTGAAGTCTTTGGAGTGCCCTGTAGATATACAGTGAACCATTAATGCCAGAATGCTCTATCTTGATATAAGTGGTGTTTTAAGAGACAGTCTGTAATTTGAGAACTGAAATACTAAAGTACATTTTTTCTTTTTTAGGCAGGTGACAAATCACTCTCCAATGTAAGTTAAAAATTTATTATCCTGGTCTTACCCTTATTAAGTCAACTGATTTAAAAATATCCATTGTATTATGTTGAAGACATGGTTTTAAAAGATAATGAGGGGATTTTTGTTGCAACACATTATTATATTAACAATTAGATTCAACAGATTTAAGAACATTTTATGGTTTGATCTCTTCCTATGTTTATAAAATAAGTTTTAGTGGGATGATGTA